AATATTTATGTCTGTGTGGATGTTCTTTCTGAAATGCTTTTTATGAGTGTCTGTCAGAATGTTGCAGCTTTTTCAGGAATGGCCTTTATTCACGCACCTTACAATTTTTTATCATGCTGTTTCTGATCCTGAGAAAAATCGGGGAGCAAAGTATGTGAGAGAGCTTATTCTATAGGTTGTTAAGACATTTGCTTTGATATTGGGGATGAATGTGTAACAGGGTGACCAAACCTGACTTTCAACTTCAGTGCAACAATTGAGATGATTCATTTTCCTAAATGGTGCTTGAAATACACATTCTGTTTACATATAAATTACATGGGGAATATGTTGTAGATAGAGTATGTAAGCTGTAGTCCAGTTAACGCATTAACAGTTAGCACAGGCGTTCTGAAAATCTTTTGAAGATAACCCCAGATTTCTTTATCAAAATATTCTAAAGTTATATCATTACACAATAGTAACATTTTATTAAAATTAGTATGACATGAATGGTAGCTAGATGGAAATATACATTCAGCATCAAGTAGTACTGTACATGAAAGGGCTCTCACCTGCCAGTAAAGATTTGTTTACAGCAATGGTTTCTTGATAGCTTAGGATATTATTATATTATACATTATTGGACTAAAGTCTGTTTTCTTTAACCTGTGTGCTGAATTTCCACCAACATCACCAGAACCACTGGTATGTCTAAGACGATACGGATTTTGACATGAGACAGCACTACTTTTTAAAAACTGATTTTAAAATTTGTCTTTTTAAAATAACCCTGTTATGGACATTATAATTAATATCTGTAATGTCTCAAATTAATACAGCTAAATAATGGCTTTAAAAGTCCGTGTGCGTATATGCCATTTTGAAATGCTGTTATTTTTCAGGTTGTAAATTTCTGCTTTCAGTTTAAAACTTACATGAAACCGAAAACAGGAAAGGAATCTGTAAAGCACTGAATTATTTCTCTGCTTGTCTGTAAATTATCCACAGCTTTAATTTCCCTTTCTTTTGTTGTGCCATAAACTGATTCTGAAATAAGACTCTCCTTTTTATAAATAGGTTTAGGCTGGCAATTTGATACTAGTACTTGGAACTTGGACCTTTTATCCTCTGTTATAAGAATATAATAAAAATGTATTGTTTCTATAGCTATATAGTGTAGCAGCCCTATATTTAAAAAAAAAAAATCTAAGCCCCTTGAATTGCATTAACTGTAACCCATGACAATTACATGTTTTTATAATCACTAAAGCACGGAGGTTTGTGTCTAAACTTTCATTCACTTTGTAAGTTACGTCATCACCCAAGTGTTCTAATATGTGAAGAATATAGAGGAACAGTGCCTGAAAAGCACAACTGTGTCAGTCATTACAGGGCTAACCATATTCCTTTCTGTGTAGAAACATCATCATTCTACAAATACCAGTTTGATTTTCAGAGGAATGTCAAGGTTAATGAAGTAGGTGTACCTGTCTAGTCAAGCAGTTAAGAGGTAGCAATTAAGCTACGTATGTTAATTGCACCAAAGGAAAAGACTAATACTAATTGCTGGCAGTACGTATTTTATAACCCAGACCTAAAGTTCAGAATGTGTGGACCTGCCAAGAAGCTGTCAATAAAAAGCTGATCTCATTTTTTGTGTGCATTCTTTCAGTGATCAACAGTTCTCAACGTGGCTGAACTATGCTCATAAGGCATTTACTGATTGAGAGCGTGTTCCTGGTGTTATCTCTTCTGTCAAGCTGACGGGGTTTTTTCCCACATTGTAGCTTCAGGCCAAAGTCCATTGTGAAGGAGCAGAAATGGATTTTTTTTTTTTTTTAATTACAGTATGATATTTAAGGGAATTTCGGACTTCATTCAACAGATTTTTACAGTCTTCCTCATAGTGAACAGTCCATGTGATGTAATTTGTGGTTTTCTGCCTATAGAAATCAAAGGGGTGGGGGGAGAAATAGTGATACTTACATTAAATATCTTCCAAAATTAGTTCTGTAAGTATAATTCCGTAAACTGCTTTCATGGTCTTGTAAGGAGGGCAGGAGAAAAAAGTGTTGTAATGCAGTCATGCTTGAATGCAATTCCTGTCAGGCACAGCAGGTATAAATATGAGCTACTCAAATGCTCACATTTTCCCAGGCTTGACGCTAATTTGATACAATACTGGCTTACTCTCCTACATTTGGGCTCCTTGTTCCCTTCAGACAACTTCAGCAAGTTTAAATGTAATTTTCAGCTAATGTACTCTTATTATTTTTCATACCTAATTACTTTGCAGACTAGTTAAAACTAACCAATACAAAGTTAAATCTCCAATGTGTTTTAATGTTGGACTATTGCTTCTATTCCAAATCTGTAGAATGGCAGGAAGTTTAAAATGGCTTCTGCACATGCCTGCTAAACAATTCTATTTCTGTACCTCAGACAAATACTGTCATTTGTGAGTTGCTTTGTTTTATTACAAAACTGGCAGTTAGGCTTTTAAAAATGTATGTGTTACAGTTCTAAAATGTCTGAAATTTTCTAGAATTTAGTTAGTTTCACACGTAATGATGAAAATGTACAAATGGTGGCCTTTGTACTGAGAAATATTACAGGGAATGGGATTGGAGAACTCTAGAACTCAGGTTTACAAAGAAGTATTAATTGTACAATTCATGTTACCAGCACATACTTTTAAAGGAATTAGAAAAAAAGAATCCAAGGAAAAGAAAAATTGAAGTGGAAACTTTTCTAAAGGGTGCAGATATAAAACAAACAAATCCTGGGAAATCTTCATAGTTACTCACAAATAATTTAAAAAAAAAAAAGGGGCGAAAAATGTTTAACGGGTAATACATATATACCCCTTCCCCACATACACAATCAGTTGTTCAAGTAAGAACAATACTTTATATTAATACATTTGAAGTGGCCTGGTCCAAATATTCAATTTGTTAGTTGCAAATTAGTTGCTTGTTTGTGTTGTATCCAAGTTTGCATCTTAAGCATGAGCTGTTTTGCAATAAACTTTTTTTAACCTGTATACACACATTTTGCCTTATTTGCCTTTCAGACATGGAGGGAATGCTTTAGTATTTAATCTGCCACAGTCACCTCTTTCCCCAATTACAGCTCATCAGAATGTTAAAGTGTATGTGACTCTTCAACTGCTTTTACCAAACCAAAATATTTTTCCTTGCATTTTGTTAAGAAAAGCCAATAATTGTTACTACAGTTAGATTTTTTTTTTTTTTTTTTTCCAAATCCCCCCCCCCCCCCCCCCCCTGCCAGTATAGCCACTGTGTGGATTCAGGAGGGGAAACTTAAAGGGTTTGAACAGAAAGGGATGTAATATTTAAATACTACTGTGAGAAAAATAAAAAAATAAAAAAAAAAAACAGGAGAAAACTCTTTATATTGTCTTTAAAGCATGCAAGCACTGATAAAATTTTATCTTTTGCTACATGAAACCCAGTGTGTACAAAACAGTTTAGAGTTAGGATTTTGTAAGGTATAATTTTTTTTCTTTTCATCTCTTGCCTAATAGTTGTGTATTTTAGAAATCATTTTCAGTACTAGATTTTTCATCTTGAGACTCTGCTTTCAGTATCGTGTCTTTGGCTCTGGATTCCTATACAATTTTTGTCTCTATTTTGTGTATATAAAGCATATAACACTGAGATTAAAAAAAGGAAAGGTGAAATGCTTTGTCATTGTTTTGACTGGAAAATGGTAGTGCTGTTTGGTATTTTGAAAATGCTCTCCAAATAGGCACGAATATATATGGTTGTATTTGATATAACTGTTTTTTAAATAAATATGATTATAGCTTCTAATGGTTCTCTCTTGACCGGAGTATTTACAGATGTGCTTTCCCTTATATGTGGATTGGGCACAGA